CCCCTGCAGCGGCCGCGAGTACCCACCGGGCATCGCCGGCAGCGAGCAGCGCTTGGACCCCCCCTGCGCCGTGCATTCGTTCTTGCACGAGGACGAGTACTTGATCCCACACGGTGGGAACCTGAGCTTGCCCGGCTCCGGGCACCTGGGTGCACACGGCGGCAGGCTCTTGGCCACGCGCTTTTTCTCGGTGCAGCAAGTCTCACAGGGCTGGAGGCTCTGCGCAGCACCCGGCTGCTCACTGGACATGGCACAGGGCAGAAGGGGAGAGGTCTCGCAAGCCTCTGGGCCCAGCAGGACGCACTGCTGCACGTAGGGCTGGTGGCACAGCAGGGGTGGCAGGGCCATGCTCGGCTGTGGGCATAGGATGGTGAAGGGCTGCACGTAGCTCGGCCACCTGGGCATGGGGCTCTTGGTCACACTCAGCGGGTGGCACGTGGTGCTGCACACGTCGGCCTGGGGCACGCACACCTGGAGGCTCTCGGTGATGTAGCCCGAGCCTGGCAGGCACAGGTGTTTATACCGCTCCCCATAATAGTGCATGGTCACGCAAGGTGGTTATGCCTGAAAAAAACAGGAAAAAGGCGGATAGTTCACATGTGCATTGGCTATTTGTCCGTGATATGGGATCGGACGTTTCCAGCAGGCCTCACTGCAGGGGGAGCCCGCACCTCAGCCCTGCTGCAGGCTCGCCGTGACTCAGAAGCAGCTGCAACACCTAAGCACAAAAGATGAAAGCCAACCCAAAATTAAAGGTGTGTCCAGGCTGTAATACGCAGGTGTGGCTGCTGTCCATGTGGGTGAGCCCAAGCTGCGGTTAAATTAGCCAGCTCAGGGTAGCAGGGAGCCTGGCACGTACAACGTGTCCTCATGAGCCCATTGGGACAGACAGGCTGAAAGACCTGCGCAATTATCAGGTTTGGAGCTAGCTAGCCTAATACCAGCTTCACTGCCTCTGCAGGCGTTGCAATCCCACCTTTATATTGTCACATGGGCAAGCTTTAAGAAAAGCAAGAACAGAAAATACAAGAGTATTTTCTAAGCATTCAGTAAAACCATAGCGGTAACAAAGGAGGAAACACCGAGTCAAGGACCTCCCGCCTCAGGGGAAGGGACCCAGCAGCATGGTCCAGCAGGTGCACAGCTTCCCACTTGCATTTCCTGAACACCCCTAGTTCTGCCTAGAGTTAGGGCAAGATGCTTTGTCTTCCCCAAACCTATCACTATATGACTATTAACAATACAATGCTGTGTTACTATCATTAATAAAACTTATAATCACTGTAATTATAATAATTATTGACTAATAAAAATAACTGATCTAAAAACAATGATAGCAATGGCTACTACTACATTAAAGTATCTGGTGACTCTTATCAAGGTCAGAGCCTGCTAACATAAGGGGAGTTACTTGCTTCCAGGGGGTTGCTTGCATCTCTGACTTATTTTTATCATTATTAATCAAATAGAAATTTTGATTCATTCAGACTTCACTGGAGAGCTAGCTTGTGTGTTGGTACTGAAGCCAGTTGGCTAGTCGGGGATAGTTGCTCTGTTCAGATCCTGAAATCAGTGGCAAAATTCTCCCCGCTGCTTCCACTACAGGTTTTGCTTTTTCATTTATGGTCTCATATCTGACTGCCGACAGCACTGAGCCCTGTAGGTAGTCGATAGCCTCCTTTGGACTATATCTGAGAAAGTGCAGAGGAGCCAGCAGATCCCCCTCCCGTGAGTCTGCAGTCTGTCCAAAGCGCTTTCCTGGTGGTCTTTAGCACGGGGGAGATGCTCCAGCTCTTCTAGCCGTAGTGCTGGTGGCAGCAGCCCCGGGACGGGTCTCCTGCAGCCCGCGGACCGGCCCTCTGCCCGCGTCGGCCGCCCGGGAACAAGCCAGCATTTCAGGAGCACCACTAAAAGCCAGACTTACCCGCCTCATCAGTGAGAAGGACCGGAGGGAAGTGCCTGGGAGAGCCCCACGATGGCAGAGCTTTTATACAGTGAATAAGTGCCCCAGGGGAGCGAGGTGGCGTGGCCGTGTGATGTTTGTAATTGCCTGCCAGCCTGAGCCGAGCCACGTGCAGCTCCGTGCTGCTGGGGACAGCTGGCACCGCTGGGGCATCGGGAGGGCCAACCTCCTCCTTTCCATCCCGGGGAGAGACAAAACCAGCCAAAGGGCCTTGAAGGCCAAATACATCACGCACAAAGGCTGCTGGTGACCCTCGCACTGCAAACTCCAGCACGCGGGGGGCCGGGGGCCAGGGCTGCCCCCTGTGGCTGCATTTCCATGGGGGATTTCCACGTGCGTATGTTGAAAACGCAGTCCAGGAAGGTCCAGGAACTGTTCGCAGGACTTAATTACCGCAGCATGCTGCTGTCCCATCCTGAATAACCTGCCGAAAGAGGTGACGTTTTTCCTGCACAAGGGAGAAACCAGGTGAGCAGGAGAGCTGGGGCAGCCCAGGGAAAGGTGCCTGGATCACGGCGAGCTGCTGCCCTGAAAACTGCCACCCTGTTTCCTGCCCGCCTGCCGACCCTGCCACCATCACTCCTCCCTTTGCACCAGGAGCAAACCCTGGGGAAGATTAACTGCAACATGAGCACCGGTGCCGAGACCGGGAAGGTCTAGGTTTAAGCAAGGTCGAAGTTTTAAGCCTGAGTTTGTTTCCTATTTCTATTTTCACCAGAAATCCCAAAAGGTGTGTTTGTACAGGAGTTTCTTCCCATTTTTGATTTTCCAACAAAAGTCTCCCTCGGTATCAAAGAGAAAATGCAGATGAACTGTGTATTTTCCCAGTCAATGCCAACATTTTGGGAGATGCAATAAACAGAGAAGAACACTTTCTCTAGACTTATCTTGTGTCTGAAGAAAAAAAGCACTAATTCCTACCTGAATTTCTATAAGCTCAGTTGCATTCACTCCCTTTAACTCTAAAGCCCTTTAACTACCAAGCCCTTTTTTAATATTAAATGATCTGACCGGAGATTTTAGAAGTCAGATAGCCACCTGAGAAATGGCAAACAGACTGATACCATTTTTATGAAAAGTCTCTTCAAGCTAGTTCCTGGGCAAGTTCCAGCCCAAGGGGTCCTAAAGCAACGCTAGCATTCAGCTAAGCGTTTCCAGGACAGGTAGCAAATATTAACCCGATGATAACATCACGCTCTGTCATCCAAATACTCCTAATTAGCATCTGCAAAGTTCTCTGAAATCCTTTAATCTCCAAGAGACTCGCAGCGCCACATAGGACGTTATTGCAGGGTCTGTTATTATTCCCAATTAAGCAGAAGGGAAACTGAGGCACACTGCACTGCGGTCACTTGGTGGATGAGTCAGAGCCAGGGCCAGGATCAGGCTCCATCACACCCATCACTGAAATGTTTCCTCTGCCTCAGCAGCTGCTCCAGCCTCTATCCTGCAGCCCCAACCATGCAAAACCTGGGATTTGCAGGAAAAACGAGTGCCCGGCCCTGGGAAATTGGCTCCTAAGGGAAAGCCGGGATGATGCGAAAGCTCGTCATAACCCCACGCTGCTGCTCCCTTTCCTACTTTAAAGGTGACCCAAAGTGCCTGGTCGCAAGAGCATCCCTTGCTTACATGCTGCCTCTCCAGGCTGCAGCAGCATCGCGATTTCGGGAAGGGGTGCGGTACAAAGGGCCGGTTCCTTAGCGGCAGGAGGCAGCCGGCTGCTGCTGCGGCACGGCCAGGCATTGCCCCATGCGGCTTTTGGGCACCTCCCGGCATCCCAGGGCCGGACGCGGGGCAGCCTCCCAGGCCCAGGCACACCCACTGCCGCCACCTGCAAGGTGTTTTTGCCCTCTGATGTTGCAGGAGCTACTTAGCCTGAGCAGTCACCTTCTCATTTTCCTAATGAGAGGGTATTATTGTAAAATTTTTGTGTTTTTCCTGACAGGAGTTCACTGTATTTAATAAACCCCCCCAAAAAAAAAAAAAAAAAGCAAGAACCACCAGAGGAGGGAGGAAAGACAAAATATCTAATTTTGAGGCCATAGAACTGTATTTATTTAAATATATGTAAGTATGAAATAAATATGCATATATATCTGTAATGTGTTTTCAATGTAGCGTAGAGTACACATCTTTAGGCAGCATTAACAACGCAGGTAATGACTTCTGCATCTCAAACTTTTATAAAACAGCAGTGCTATATCTTTCGGCAATATCTTTCTTTTGTTTCAAACTGTATTTTGAATATTAATTAAAGCAACTAAGTGAAAGGAAATGTTAGTGTATAAAAATTTCAGCAAGATTGGCTTCACTGAGCCAGAAATCCCAACTGTAAATGTTTGGGACTCTGCTGATGTCAGCACAGAGCAGCAGGGAATTCAGGGCACCTTCCTAAATGAAGGCCACTGGAATGAGACTTACATATTGTTTGCTTAGCCAATTTACATCTTTCTTCCAAACCTGATCGTAAACGCAGCTATAGTGCAGAACTCGCAGCTTCACGGAGACAAGGTGAACCTGGACATCGCCAGGACTAGCACCACTGCTACCACGAGCTGTAGTGCCACCGGTCCTCTTATGTGTCCTGAGCTGGACTCCTTAGATGGTTCTAGTCTACCTACTTTAATTTTTTTTTTTTATCAGTATACATTTCAATTAGGTGAGACCTTAATGTACTACTAAACTATTTATTACAGCAGACTAAGGAACAAGCCACAGACACCCAGAGAGTAGCCAGGGAAATACAATTGCACCCTGCCCCAAAATAGAGCTGATGTATAGGGGAAATACTGGAAAACAGAGATAAGGAGGAACTAAGCAAAAGAAACTAGTCAGCAGGGGTTAAAAGGAGATAAATAACCCCTGCCCCAAAGCTGTAGGTCACTCTGTTTCCATGAACTCTCATCCCTTCCCCTCTCCGTTTTACCAGGGCCACTTTGAGGCAGAGCAGTACTTCTTCGAATGGCTCGAAATCTTCACTCCCCCCGGCTGGCACTGCTGTGGGGCACATGCGGGCAGACAGTCACTTGCACACTGCTGCGGGACACACTTGGTTGTGCACTGCTGCGGGGCACACTTGGTGGCACACTTGGTGGCACACTGCTGCGGGGCACACTTGGTGGTGCACTGCTGCGGGGCACACTTGGTGGTGCACTTGGTGGCACACTTGGTGGCACACTGCTGCGGGGCACACTTGGTCACACACTTGGTGGCACATTTGGTGGCGCACTGCTGCGGGAAGTAAGTGGTCACACACTGCTGGGGGACGCACTTGGTGGCACACTGCTGCTGGGGGACGCACTTGGTCACATACGGCTGCTGGGAGACACAGGTGGTCACACCCCTGGTTGCACATTGCTGTTGCGGGATGCATGTGGTCGCACACGGTTGCTGGGGGAGGCAGGGGGACCCAGCCTTGGTTGCACACTGCTGGGGGATGCACTTCGTTGCACACTGCTGCTGCGGCACACACTTGGTCACGCAGGATTGCTGCGGCACACACTTGGCTGTGCATTGCTGCTGTGGCACGCAGGTTGTCACGCACTTAGTCGCGCACGGCTGCTGTGGAATGCACGCGGTCGCATGCTGCAGCTGTGGCACGCACTCGGCTGTGTACTGCTGCCGCGGCACGCACTTGGTCACACACTGTTGCTGCGAGAAACTGGAGCCTGCGAAGCGCTGCTGGGACACCCAGGGGGTCACATACTGCGGGATGCATGGCGCTGAGCCCTGGACCGGCACCGGCTGGCACGAGGCAGCATACATCGGTGGGCGTTTCACGGGGAGGGGTTCCTGGTACATGGAGGGGAGGCGCTGCGGCAGGTAGCACGACATCGTGGCAAGGCTTCAGCAAGACTGCAAGGATATGGGAAAAGCAGAGCCCTGAGAGCAGTGCCAGGGCCAGCACCTCCCCACGGTGCAGCCGCCCACGCTGTGGCCTCCTGCCCATGCCAGCAGCAGCTGAGGACCTGCCCCTTCACTTTTAATTCTGAGGCTCCTACTGCATCAAGAAGTAGGAACACTCGGAGACACAAGCAGGGTTCGATACCTCAGCCCTCCCCAGACAGCCGCTCGCTCCTTCCACCACCTTGACCTGTGCGGGGGAAGAATTAGGCTCTGAGCGCAGTAGAAGATTTCCCCATCTCAGAGCTGTCTTGCAGCCACCGAAACCAGCTCTCCCCTTCTGCTTTTGGTTCTGCGACGACCTCTGATGTCTTTTAGATGAGCAGAGGAGAAGCTCCCAGCCCAGAAACAAGCCACTCAGGGCATTCAGCTGGGAGCATCTGCTGTGGCGAGAGGAGCAAACAACTCCAAGGCACCCGGGGCTTGGTAACCCCATAAAACTGGGCAGGAAAAGGTACACGGTTTGGTCCCGGAGTGACCAAAGTTGATTAAAGGGGAGAGTTACCACAACTGAACACAAGCGTGCTTGTGTTTCTTACAGCGTTGTTCCCTGATGCACCAAAGCAGTTCTGACTGTTGCCACATGCCTTCTACACCCCCAAAAGCAAACCACATTTAGCAGCCCTCCATTCGCTGCTAACAGCCTTTCCTCAGCTTTTCCAGAAGCTGCTAGTGGAGCTGGAGTCCCAGCTGGAGATACTGTAAGAGAGCACACTCCCGCTCCAACAGAGCAACCCAGACCCACCAGTTTTGACAATCTTTCCCATAAAGCATTTCTATATATATAAAAAAAAGCAGAAACAAATTTGCACTTCAGCTAGAGAGGCTCAGCACAAACCAGACTTACCCAGCTCCCTGATGAGAACAACTTTGTGATGTGACCACTGAGACCTAATAGAGGGAGAGCTTTTATACAGCTTCTAGACGTGCCTTGAAGGTATGAAGTGCTCACGACATACCCTATTAGCGCCTATGCAAAACCTATTCTGTGCGCAACACTTCTGGTGACTAGCATCAGTGTACTCATCCCCAAAGATGAGTAGTTGAATGTCAGTTCCCCATGGTAAGACCAATTATCTTTTGTATAATCCTTCCTGGCATGGTAAGACTGTATGGCATTTGGAGAGGCAGACGACAGTGCCACCTCCTGCCCCAGGGGTTTTGCAAAGCAGAAGTTGGTACAACACTACAACAGTAGTGGCATTATGGGACCCCGTTGAGGGGCAGCCTTCAAAGTCCCTGCAAACAGCTGGTGGTCACCAACGATGGGGGTACATTCAAGACCCAGCATTGGGCCTGTTTCCACTCTTCAGACACACCTTGTATTGGCTTGTGCCACATGACAGCAGTCCTGACCGCTCCATGTCCCTTCTCCAACTTCAATCACTGCAGCTCACTGGGTAAGAGCTGGTAGCACTCCTCATCTGGCCTGTATGGCACAGCAGCTGGGGTCTGCTGCATGTGCAGGTTGGACAAAGGACAATGGCCCCTTTGGGGAAAAAAAAGGGACTCTCAGTAAAATTCAAATCATCCCCTTGGGGTGGATCAAAAGTTCACGGGACAGTTCATCATTCAGGTTGGCAATGAACTTGACTGTTAGCTCACGCAGCTCTGGAGAGCATCTGGCTGTGCATGCCACGGTGTTCCCATGATCCTGACACCATCACCTGTTATCGGAGTGATGGGAACATGTCACCCAGTGACTCCCAGATGAACGGAAAAGGATTAGCTACAATCACATTTGATTGCAGCTATTATATAACGTGCTCAGCTGTCAGAGCTGTGACTAGCAGCACAGGAGACCATGAGCAGCATCAAGAGCAGATAAGCTTCCTCCAGTTCTGCAGATGACGTTCTCAGCAAGTCTACTTCTTATCACACACTGCATCCAGATTAAAGGAACTGGATAGAAAATCGGGAGATTAATTTTTTAAAGTCACTGAAGATCTAATCAATGCTTTCATATGTACATTGTCAGATGAATCGTCCCTTAAATAACTATTTCTTCTTCATGCCAGCAATGCCCCAACCTTCACACAAATCCTAATTTCATTCAGTACTTGGCTGAACCTTGTGAACCTACCTAACATATTGAAAGCTCAGGGGAGCTTTAATTAGTTGATCACAACAGTAACTTAACTTTTATTTTTATACCTGGTAATTTCTGTAAGATTATGTATCTAAACCCACTTAAGCAGTGCACCCCAAACCTACAGGATTAAAGAGACAAAGAAAACCCCATAAGCCCTAGTAGGCTCCATTTTAACTTTGGCAGCATAGCAACACTGGAGACTTTCACTACGCAGCAATTTAATGAGTGTTTCATTTTCACACGATAATGCCTGCAAAAATATATTCTTCTGTTGTCATTATCTGAGCATATCCTGGCAGTATCCACCCTATCCACACAAACTAACCCTGCCCTAAAGTGGTTGTCATCTAAGAAAAATCTCCTGAACGCTTCAAACATGTGTGACTTGTCTGACAACCTGGAAAACAGCACAAGACCAAGGTGGAAAAAGAAATAAAAATAGAGCTGTGGCACTGAGAAGTAGGAAGAGGGAGCCAGAAAACATCCTGGAAGAGATGCCAGGTGAGACATTTGGGAATCCACCACTTGCCTTTTAATAAGGGAGGCACACAAAGGAGCGCCATCATGCTGCGACGATTTCAGAGCGTGAGCACACGTGCCGAGAATTCACAGCTCCCTGCCTATGCCAAAGCCAGAAGTGGCAAAAGAGCAAGACAGCCCTAAAGGAGGGAGAAGAAACGAGGTAAATAGGCCAGGTGGGATCTGGGATATTGGCTTGCAAGCTCAAGTGGTGTAAAATTAGCCTTGCTCCATTAACAGTAACGAGCAGATGCTGTTAAACTCAACAAAGAACTGTAAAGCAGGAGGGAGCGACTGTGGGGAGCTGTTGAGCATTAAAACTGGTGTGTGGAAAAGAAAACATTAAAACTAGTGCACAGCAAAGGAAACTAAGTACGTTAGGCTACAAAAGCAAAGCCCAAGGAGGGGAGTCCTCCCTCGAGGCAATAAATCTGCCTTGGAGAAGTGCCACCATGGCCAAGTTCTGCTCAGCATCTTCCAAGCGTGACGGCATCCTGCTAGCAGCAAGCATCACGTAGGGCTGCTCCTGCGGGGAGCTGGGACCGGCAGGGCCTCCAGGCTGGCCCAGGCAAGGCCCTTCCCTCCAGCCGTGGTGAAGCCGCTAGAGCGCAGCACTCGCCTGCGCAACAGCAGGACCAGCTACTTCTGGGGAAAGTTGGGAAACCACCTTTGGATGCCCTCTCTCCAGGCAGATGCTTTAAACTGGTGACTCGACCCAGCCTTTGCATCAGAGGACCCTCATGTCTCAATGCTTCTTACTGCACCAATACACTGACAGGGATTTGTCTTGAGCTGTCAAGGCACCGCACGGCCAAGCCGCAGCCTCCTGCGAGCCTGAGCCCACCTCTGTAAAAGCTGCTTGTTTCCAGCTGCTCATATGAACGTGCTTCTGTGCGTTTAAAACACACTGAAACAGTAGCGGAGCTGCATGCCGTGCGAGTGTGCTCATTCAGTCATTGCAGGGCACGAAGGTGCATGCAGGGAGGGGAGGATGGCGACAAAAGGAAACAGGGGAATAAGCAGATTGCCTGTTTTTATTGTATCAGACTTGTAATTAGAAAGCAGCATAGAGGCTGTAGACACCAAAACTTAGCACATTATTAGCCCAGCAAGCAGCAAATTTGCAGTATCACTATTTCAATGATTTAACAGCACTGGAGGCCATCACACATTAGAATGAAATGCTCCTCACTTAGGCTCCTTCTTGCTTCATTTTAAAAGCATTTTATTACTTAATGAACTCTTGCTGCTCTGCAAGTAGTAGCCCCAGCACACCTCTTTGTTCTAGGTGTTACGAGGCTCAGTGGAGTTCAGTCTCTATAGAAAATTGGACTACAGGATCGTAATAGCCCTGGTAACTTATAAAATGCTTGAATTGACAGTTTTGACACTGATGCGAGTGACTTTCACTCCGGCGCCCATACTCATCACCTACACTAGCTGGGCTTCCAGTGCAGGAGAAACCTGGACGCGGAGGAATATGTTCAAAGTTTGAGCTCTCCCCTCTGCAAAAGCAGCAGATGCCAACTCAAAGCTGTGAGACCCCTCCCAGCCGTGCAGCACCAGCGGTTGCCAGCAGCTTTGCCCGTGTGTGGGGTAACAGCATAAGTGAACCAAAGCACTAACCCAGAGAAGATAAAAGTGTGAAATACTTTTTGCAGACCTCCAAAAAAGTACCCCAAATTAGCTGCAGCATGCCCTGGATTTCTTTCCTGCTCCACATTTTCCATACCCAGGAGCTACTTTCGCTTTGGAGGCCACTGGCTCAGCTGCTTTTTTGGCTGCTCTTCCAGGGGTGGCACAGAAGTGGGAACATCGGGTTCCTCAGCGGACGGTGGGCCTTGCTCGGGTTTTGGCGCAAAAAGCTGTGTTGCAGGCAGCTCCTCGGCTTTCTTTCCTGGTTCTTCGGCTGTTGGTACCTCTGGCTCTGCCACCGCTGGGGGGATCCGTGTGGGCTCCAGCAAGGCTTTGCTTGCTGCCGGGGGCAGAGGGGCTGCTTGCTTGCCCTGCTGCTGGATTAACTGTGACGATATCCTGCTGCCAGGCCAGGGACTGAGAAAAATACCATAGGAAAAAAGGAAAGGTAGTGGCTTTGAGGAAAAAAAAATATTGCACCAATTTTTTGTTTCTGTTGTTAAAAAACAAACAAAGAAAGGAAAGAAAAGCAGCAAAAAAGTAGCAATATTATTAGAAATACTGATAACTTAGCCCTAATTCACACACCGGTGTGAGGAACAAGCGAACTGTGAGAGCTCAGGATGGCTGTGGTTTCAACAACTGACTCAGAGCTATGGGAAGCAGAATATCGAAGATAATTCCC